CGTGCTTTCCTCCGCAGTGTTTGGACTGATGCGTCATCCATCCTGCGCTGCGTCGATCCCAAGGTGCCCGATGGCTTTTCCGCCTCCCTCCATACGAGAGCTTGGGATGGAAATGCTCCCGACGATATTCGATGGGATTGGCAGGAGGTTAGATTCAGGGCCACACCGGAACCCCCAGCTATTGCTGAGGTTGCGCTATCTGCTGAGGTTGACGACGGTCATTCGGCCTCAGTCGGCACGGTTGGGAGCCAGGATGTTGTAGGTGCTGCTGTTGGCAACGATACCCCAGAGGGGCTATATGCTGCCATTGCCCACGGCCCACTTGATCCTGCGCATCTGCCGGTCGAGCGTACCGGGGAGGCCAGCCCGCGTGATAACCTGTGGTTCCTCCTTTTTGCTCCTGATAGAGCACCCGAGACTGTTCAAATTACGGCTCCGGCGCCCCTTCATTGGGATGATGCACTGTTGGCTGTGAGCGCTGCTAGGGACGCTACTTCACGTCGTCTTTATAGTCACGTATGTAAGGTTTACCCACAACCTAGCGCCGAATTTGCCAGCCTCATCTGCCTGCCCTCCTGGGCACAGCACAGGATCGCTGTTCTTCTAGATGGTCGGGCATTTGATGGTAGACTCTACTGCTTGTTGATCGACCCATGGATTCAGTGGACTTCATTCCTGTTGTACACAGGCCTGTCAGACGCTGCAGACTTTGTCATTGTCATAAAGGGGGTAGTGCACCCTAGGGGACGTCCACTCGTCCTAACACAAGGAGACATGATCCAGGTTCTTGAATATGGAGTAGCCATCCCCCCTATCCTTGACCTTGACGATCTTCTGTTCACTGGGACTAGCTGGGAAGTCGAGCCACCCCTGGCTTTCTCCTCTTCTTTTTCCCACTTTTGGGTCCTTCATGAAGGGGGCTCCAGGGGAATTGATGCTGATTACCACAGGATTAACAGCTCCTTTGGGTTTCAGGAATTTGCTGCAGAGGCCTTGCAATTCGCACAATACCGCACCACCCTCAAGACCGCCTCACCAAGAATTCAGGATGCGGTCTATCAAGGTATCCTCTGTAAAGCGGTTGTCCTTGTTACTGAGTGTCTGCCTACCCTGCCGATCCCTCCGGCTAGGCTGACGACCCCCCTGACTGTTGTCTTCCTTGATATGAGACCTGTTCTCAAAGGCATTAATTGGCGCATCCTTGTCAGAGGAGAGACCGACGTCGAAGTCTTCAGCAGAGGCCTGAATCTTGATGTGCCTCTTGGCTTTGAGCTGCAGATCGAAGGCGGCAGCCGAGTTACCCGAAATGGTGTTACATTCCTGCAAGCAGAGGACCGTACAGTACTAACAGTGTCCTTTACTGCAAAACCTGATGATGACGCAGTCGCTGACAGCACAGGTGACAGTGGGGGCTCAGATTCGGATTCAGGCACAGACTCCACTAGTAATGGGGAAAGCCCTCCGGGCCCTGGTAGGAACACGGTCCTGTTCCCAGAAGCCGGTCGCCTAGGGGCCAAAGGCGACGACGCAACAGGTACGGCACCGGTGGTGGAGCGCCTCCTGCCCTTGCGCTTACAGGCGCAAGTGTACAAGACTGTGCGCGACAAGGTGGATTTATTCCTCCAGCAAAGGCTACTGCTGTTGTCGACCTGTGCTTGCCTGATCTCGGTTCGCATGCTCTCGGTTGTTGGCCTGTTGGAGCCCTCAGACTTGTTCTGACTGGGAGCGATGATTCCATTGGCGAGCTTGAATGCAAGATATTGGTTGAGCCCACCTGTCGGACGGTGACTGCTGCTACTGTCCTTGCCCATCTGCGATATGTTGCACCTCGGCTCGGATCACCGTGGCGCTACATGACCCCCATAAATGCTCTATACATTGAAGGGGACACCTCGTCTGATTCAGAAGCAGATGCACAGGTTGCCGTTCCGTTAAGGGTGTGTTTCCGCATCTTGATCCCCGGCTTTGTAGCTGAGAAGGTTGAGGTCAGTTTAATCCTTCCCACCACCATTGCTGAGTTTCTACCTCTTGTTCAGGCTGCCCGACGCCCGCTCCAGGCACGCAACTTCCCACGCCTTGTGCCAGCCAGTCCACAGCCCCTTGTTGGAGAAGGGGTCTTTCTGGCCTGCCCTGCTTGGTCGGTTGAAGTTGCTACTTCTCGTCGACAGATCTGCATTGACTGCTCCGAGTTAGATGGCCGAGTTTACTCTGCACTGGTGCCTTCCTATCTCACAGGAGCCAGCATACCTAGCCTAGCCAGCCTGCCGCGCAACCTGGGCTGTTCTGTGTTTGCTGGACCCTACGGAGATCTCCTCCAGTGGGACAGTCAATGCCATCTTGTTGATGGAGATACTGTTTTCATTCTCCCAGAAGATTCTGCTGCGCCCAGAGTTGTGCCATTGCATGTTGCTCTTCTTGGTCGGCAACACTGGGGACGACCGCCTAGACTGCCAGAGCCTTCTAGCCATGGCATTTGTTGCGCTGTCTTTGGTGCCGACAACATTCTTCACATCAATACACGTGGCCGTCATGGTGCCTTTCGAGAGCAGATAGCGATCTCCATTGGGATCCAGCCGCACCGACTGCGCATTGAATCCTCCAGGCCGAGAGTCTGGAACGCTGCTATTGACGGGTTTCCCTGCCGATCGGTTGTGATAGCCAGCGAATCTAGCCCTTCGGCTAGATCTGAATCCCCAATGATACTTGTTGATGTTCGAGGTCTGTTCCTTGGTTGGCGCTCCGTCCCCGCCCCTGGCGGTCAGGTCTCATGTCGGGACATTATTGATGATCTTTTGCGTGAGCTGGGCACAGGTTGGCGATTGTGGTTTAGAGACCTCCCTTTCCACACTGATGTTGTCGAAGTTAGGACTGGACAAATCTTCATTGTAGATGTCCTACATGAAAGGGTGCTGCCACCTCTTGGCCTGCACGGACAGGCTGGGATTGTCGACGCAGCCGAGCCATCAGACCCAATAAGCCACGCCAATCATGCTGCGGTCGCTGGTCGCCTTGCTGGCGCTGATGACCGGCAGGACCCTGCTTCTGAAACTCCTGCTGAGGAAGACGGCCTACACCCCGCCGGTGGAGGCCAAGATAATCCTCACGACACTGCTAGCGGGGATGTTCCATCCGGACAGCAGTCTACCGGTGAAGAGGGTGCCTTCTTTGACGTCCCCTTCCAACTTCTCAAGCCCAACTATGTGCATGAATGGGTTACTGTGCGCCTCCCGCATGGCGTTGATGTCACTGAGGCCCTCAATGCTGCTGCCCTTGCAAGACACCCTGATGCCTCCGTCCGTATGCCTGTCCTTTGTGCTGTGCACCCTCAGCCACGTACTGATGTTGCGCTTGTGACGTGCATGCCGTACTGGAGGCATCCAGGCTCTGTTGTAGCTGTTGATAGCAGAACTGTCAACGGTAGGTTATTTGCAGTTCAGCTAGTTGGGTCCTGCTTCCGTCATGACTTCCTAAAGCTTGCTGGCCTGGCGGAAGATGCGGACGATGAAGTATTTTTCAGGGACCTGCCCTGGCCTCTCCCTGTTGACAGCTCTGTTTACCCGCAACACGGCGACCTTGTGTTGATCAGACCACGTAATGCTGGTGTCCATGTTGTCGGCAGTCTCGCTGACATGCTCCAGTCAACTGTTGGATGGGCTGCTTGCCCAGGCCCTTCCGATAACAATTCAGACACAGCTTGGATTCTTGGGCCTGCTGGCTCACGAGCTTTGACTGTCCCAGCTGAACGACAGCATAGGGCCAGACAAGAAATTGCCGCCAGTCTCGGGATGCGAACTCGTGACCTACTACTTTCACCTGCCTTCGGAGGAGTCCCTGACTTCGCTGATCTTGGAGTTCTGCTACGAAATGTTGTAGTTGCCCGCCCCGCTGCTGAAGCCTACGATAGCAGCCACCAGAGGATCAAGGTTTGCATACTCGACCTCAGGCCCATACTTCTAGGCTTTGATTGGGTTCTCTGCCCTGAAGGGATATTCCTCCCAGATCGCATTGTCAGTAGGTTTGCTGGTCGCTGTCCTCAGGGGCATAGTATTGGTCGTATTGTCAACGGAGCTTTTTTCAGTCGGCTTCAGGATCCCTTCCTGATAGAAGATGGTGACGTTGTCACCCTTGCTTTTCGCAGTGATGATAACGGCCTTGATCCTGACACGCCCGGGCCATCAGATGATGCTCCCAGACCCCCGGGATGGGGCGAAGACAATGAGCCCTGGCAATCGACATCCGGATGGGACGACTCTGACGGTCCTACACAGACCCCAGCAGGTGGCGCTGAGACCTCCACCTTTGGTGTCTGGGAAAGCGGATACTCTGCATGGCGTCAAGTTCTCCCATATATCATAGTTGCACAAGGGCTTCTCGTCAGTATTGCCATGTGGTGCAGCTGCCTCTCCACAGCATGTCTTCCAGATGACAGCTCCTGCCCCACCCCTGGTACTCCGAAACCCCCCTTGGCACATGATACCGCATTCGCCAGTGTGAATGCCCACGCTCTCTGTGACAGTTGCCTCTTCGGTCATAGGCTTGGCCACGGCACAGGAGTTATTGTTGACCGTTGCGTACGCAGGACTGTATCAGCTAGGCTTCGGTTATCTTTGTGCCTTTGGCCAGCTTGCTTTATAGTCCTTGCCTACCATGGCGTCACGGCCATGCCCGTTCCAGCCGGGGCCGGCCCTGCGCCCTGTCCTGATGATAGGGTTGACACTGGCCTCTTAAGTGCTGTTAACACTGGTTGTCGAGACAGCCTAGACCCCCCACCTTCCAGGCGACGAGGCATCCCCACACCCTGCCGCAACCCTGGGCCATCTGCTCCTATAGCTGCGAGGGAAGACATCGGCCACCCTGACCTGCTGCTTGATCTTGAAGGTCGTTTCTGTACACTACATGAGCAGTCACATGAGATTATCTCCGGCCAAGCTTTTTTCCTTGCTAGTACTCTGGTTGAAACGCTTGTTGAGCACTTCGCACCTGGGGACCAGAAAGCTCCAATGCCGGTGTCCCTTGAGGCCCATCTGCCCAGGTTTGTTCAACACGATTTAAGTCAGGTTACACTCAATATAGGTAAGACCTTCGATGACGTTGCTCCCTTTCTTGGTGGCGTCTGGTCTCTCCCTCGTGCCTTGCCCCCTGGGCTTCACCTTCACCCCGCAACTGCCAGGGCTCTGGCTATTGGCTACCAGTCCAGGCAAGAGATACGTGACAGCATCGAGATCTACACTGATGGGTCCTTCAATGGCAAACTCAGTGCTTGGGCCTTTGCTGTCGTCGCCGTTGCCCCGTCCGGCCGCACCCTACAAGGTTGGTGCCGAGGCGCTGTTGCACTGCAGGGCGACCCGGCCTACATTGGGGCAGATACACACTCTGCCCTTGAAGCAGAACGATCAGCGCTGTTCTGGGCTGTGGCATGGGCCCTGACGCAGGCCGACATTAGTATAAATATCTGGACGGACTCCCTGTCTGTCATAGGCCAGACTAGTGGCCAGTGGGGAGGCACTTCTGCCTCTCTGCTAGCTAGGGCCTGTCGTGCACTCGCTCATGCTGCAGAGGCTGCTAGGGATGTTTGCTTTACAGCCTTCCGCCATGTCAGAGCCCATAAGGGAGACCCCTTCAATGAGCTTGTAGATGTCCTTGCCAAAGGACATTGGATTTCTGACACAGTCATCCCAGCTCCCTACTGTGATCTCCCCAACTGGGTCCATGATGGATCCATAGAGTGGATCTGGTTATTGTGTGAGGCCACCAGGGACCCTGGCCAGTGGCCTGCCCTTCAGGGTAGTCAGTTTGTTGATGCCTCCAGGCAACAAGCGCCCGCTGGGATCGATCCCCGAAGGGCACTTGGCCTTAGACCTACTCCTACTGCAATTGGCCCTGACTCTGCCGATCATCTCTGTCTATGCCTCCGCTTGGTATCCTGCAATGTCCAGACCCTTGAAGAAAATGCTTCTGCCGGACTTGTTGGCAGGGTCCCTTACATACGGGAGCAGCTTGAATGGACGGGTGCCTGTTTAACCGGCCTCCAAGAAACCCGTGCCAAGGACACAGAGACTGTGGTTTCGGAGACACACTTTCGCCTCACTTCGGCTGCCAATAGTCAGGGATGCCTTGGGGTAGAACTTTGGATCTCCAGGACACAGCCCTTCGCGTTTCAGGACGACAAGCCCCTCTTTTTCGCGCTAGAAGATTTTCGAGTACTGAGCTGGTCGCCCAGGCACCTCTTTGTCAAGTGCATCCGAGGGAGCTTTCGCTTTCTCATTGCTGTCTGCCATGCGCCCACATCTCTCGACGCAACCCGAGAGTCGTGGTGGAAAAAGCTTGCCGATGACTTAGGGGGATATGCCAATGGCCTTCCCGTAGTTATTCTCGGAGACCTCAATTTGCGGCTCATTGAGCCCTGGGAAGACAGTGTTGGCGATCTCTGTTGGGAAGACGGGGCCCACCCACCTGCCCCTTTCTTTCGCATCCTCAGCCACCACGGGCTTTGGGTCCCTTCTACCTTTACTGCCTGTCATAGAGGGCTTTCCCATACCTGGATTTCACCTGGGCAAGGGGCTCTTTCACGCATTGACTTCATACTTGTTCCTCAAACCTGGAAGGCCGACGAGGGCTCCTCCAGGGTCCTCTACGATGTAGACTTCGGTCAAACAGGCTTGGATCACTATGCAGTCTGCCTTGAGGTCAATGCCCTTGCCCCTTCCTCCGGCCACAAAGGTCCTCGCCCTCCTCGTATTGATGTCAGCCGTCTTCACTCCCCCGAGCATGCTGCTACTGTCCAAGCCATTTGTAAGACGGTGCCCCCTGTGCCGTGGAGTGTTGACGCTCACACCCACTATGACTTTTTTGCACGACATCTTGTCGAGCACCTTGCGCTCGCTTTTCCTGCGCAGAGGGCTGCCAGACGCAAGACCTTTTTCTCGGATGGGACTTGGTCGTTCCGTCAGCAAAGGGTCAGCTTGCGCAAACTTGCACACAGGGCTTCTGCCTGGCTGGCTAAGTATGAACTTCGCATTGCCTGGGTTGCGTGGATCTGCGAGGGCCCCTATGTGTGGGCCGGGCTGCTTTCTTTGGCGGATCTGCTGCGTAGTGTCGCCGACCTCCGCCGCAGTGTCGGGGACCTGCGTAGGTTAAAGCCTTTCTTGAAGCGGTCCATCCAGAGTGATAAGCGCAGTTTCACGCATGAAGCTGCGAGGACAGCCTCTATGAGCACCTCTAAGGATACCTTTAAGAAGCTCCGGGCTTTGATAGGTCCCACCAAAAGAAAGGTCAAGGGCAGTCGAGCCATTCCCGCCATCAAGCTTGAGGACGGCAGCATTGCCAGTGATGTTGGAGAGGCCGAGGCACGGTGGATTCGCCACTTTAGCTCCATAGAGGCCGGTGGACCTCGGACTCCGGAACAGATCACACAGCAGTGTCAGGCTCGTCAGGGTGAGCTTGACCTCTCTGAGTATGATGTCGAGGCCCGTGACATCCTCACCCGAGCACAAGTTGAGGACGGGCTCCGAGCATCCACTCCTGGCAAGGCAGCTGGAAAAGATAGGGTGCCTGCTGACCTCCTTAGGCTGTGCCCTGCTGGCTTGTCCCGGCAGTTGTTCTCCATTGTTCTGAAGTTTGCCATGCGTCTCCAAGAACCTATACAATGGAAAGGGGGGGACCTCCACTCAGTGTGGAAGAGGAAAGGTTCCCCCCTCGAATGCGAAAGTTATCGCGCCATCCTGGTGAGCAGTTCCGTGGGTAAAGCCGTTCACGGTGCCCTCAGGAAGCACTGTAGTGTCTATTTTGACGCTGCAGCCATGCCGTTGCCAGTTGGGCTTTCCTGTCCAATTTGTACTACAAGCTGCACGGCTGTGGCAAGAAAGATGCCGGGCTCGGCGCACCAGCTGCGCAATCATTTTCCTCGATTTAAAAGAGGCTTTTCATAGGGTTGCTAGGGCTTTGGTTCATGGCGGCCGGCCAGACGAAACTTCTATCCGTAATGTCATTGACACCCTTGGGCTCGATCCAGCTGTTGGAGCTCGCCTGCAGGCTTATGTTCGAGACCATTCCTTGATCAGTGCTGCCGGAGGGCCGCCTGTCCTGGCTAGGATGGTCGAAGAAACGAACTGTGACACCTGGTTCGCCCACGGATCCCTAGAAGGGACAGCCATCGTGAAGGCGGGCACTCGGCCGGGAGACAATCTCGCTGACCTTATCTTTTCCTTCTTATTTGCAGAACTGCTGCAGACCCTGCGCAGGCGGTTCGAGAAAGATGGCCTTTCAAGCGCCTTGCCCTGGAACGATCGGTGGCTGGGGGCCGGTCCGGAGGCTGCTGTTGCCTCTGACGCCACTGATGTGGCGAGACCGATCGACGTAACCTGGATGGATGATTTGGCGCTCCTCGTCGAGGACTCCAGGCCGGAAGGATTACTTGATAAAGTAGCCGCGGTTGCTACGGCAACACTAGACGAATGTATGAAAGCCACCCTGGTGCCTAACTTGGCAGTAGGTAAAACTGAGTGCGTTGTTGCCCTCTACGGCCCTGGTTCTAAGAAGACCGCGGCGGAGACCTTTAGGGGCAGCTCACCAGAGCTGCAGCTGCACTCTGAAATTTGGCCTGCTGCGCGGCTCCGACTTGTCACAACCTATAAGCATGTTGGGGGCATTGTCCAGGCAGGAGGCGGGACTACCAAAGAAGTGCGCTCACGCATTGGCGCAGCCTGGGCTGCCTTCAGGCAACACCGCCGACAAGTTTTCTCGTCTCCGCTTATTCATGCGCGGGATGAGGCAGTGCTCTTCTCCGCGGTCGTGGAATCTACCTTGTTCTACGGGATTGGAGCATGGCCGGCGCATGATCCTGCTGCCACCACTAAGATCCAGGGTTCCCTAGTTGCAATGGCTCGCCTCATGTTGCGACCGAGGTTTTCTTATGTCGAGGCGCGTCACATGAGTGGCCTCTACGTCCTTGCATGCGCTCGTGTCCTACCGGCTGAGGTTGCCATCGCTTTGGAAAGGATGCGCCACTTCCGCCTGGTTGTCTCCAAAGCTGGTGCCGAGTTCTGGGCTTTACTCCATGCTGAGCGCTCGTGGCTTTATCAGGCCCAGCAGGCACTACAATGGGCTGGAGAGCTTCGACAAAGGGCCGGCCTCAATGAGCCTGATATCTCGGACTGGAAGGTCTCTTCAGACATTGCCAGACGAGACATTGGCAGATGGAAACGTCTGGTCAAACAGACTAAAGTCGTAGCAGGCCTTGACTCCCTCTGGACAGCCGAAGTCCAACAATATCATGGCCTGCTTTTTAGGCAGCTCCGTCTTGCAGGTGCCTATCTTGATGAGGTTATCTCTGTCAGCAAGGAACCTGAGGTGTGTGCTCAGTGCGGGCAGCTCTTCGCTGACAAAAGGGCTTGGTCGCACCACGCCTTTAAAGTACACGGCAGAGTCCGCGAAGAGAGACTTCTGGTCGACGGACAGCAGTGCCCAGTTTGCCTCCGACATTACCGTAGCACTGAAAAACTTTGTAACCATCTGCGGTACTCAGGCACATGCAAGGCTGCACTGCTTGCTGCTGGCACTGGGGTTGCTCCGGTTCCGGGTATAGGCAGCCGCAAATTTGTTGACGGTTCCAGGTCACAACTTCCTGCTGTCCAAGCCCAAGGGCCACTCTGGCCGTGGCAACAGCGACAGACCCCTTTTGAGGAACACCGACCGTCAGAAGAGGTCCTGTCTGCCCTGGAGGAATGTTTTTGCGCTGGAGGAGATGCCTACCAGACCTATCAGGATGTTCTTGAGGCATATCGCCGTGCCTTCAGTTGCTGTTGTCTCCAGCTCTCTCGACTTCGAGCTACTGCAGCTGAATGGAGGCACCGGTTGCAAGACACCCTCAATGCTGATGAAGACTGGTCCATACAATGGTCCAGCTGGCATGTCCATGCTTCTGACCTGCTGCTTCGGGTCTCATGGGCTGAATGGCTGGTCCCTGATCCCATTGCCCCGAGGTTTGCCGTCTCCACCTTCAGGGACGCAAGTACCCAATTGCCCTGGCTCCTCTTTGACTTTGTTCACTTTCCTGCTGCCACTAGTGGACTTCAGATCGGCCGGGTTATTGCAGAGAGTGACCTTGGTGTTGGGTCGTTCTCTTCTCACCGCGAGGTCTCCGACACCCCTTCGAGCCTCAATGTTGACGACTGGCTGGCACCGAGTGTTGCTAATTCTGTTACGCTCCTTTCGTGCCTTGGACTGCTCTCGTCGCTGACACTGTTTGGGCCCTTCCGTTCGTACAGGGAAGTTGAGCCCCGACTCCGCAGTCTTCGCCTGTTGTCTGACCTCGTCCGAGGCTCTCTTCGCCTCTGGACTCGGGGTTATCCGTGCGTGCTCATTGTCGCCGACATTCTTTGTCCAGGTCTGGCAGCCCTAGGCAAGGCAGCGCCTTTTTCAGCCTCGTCTGAAGGCATAAAGGTGCTTGGCAATGTTCCATGCACGGAGTTTTTGTCTTTGTTTTCTTAATTACTGCATGCTGTACAGGCTGCGTCCGACCGGACTCCAAGCCCCGAAATCGAATCGAAATCGAAATATACACACACACGCACATACATGCAGACATAAAGAAACGTTAAGCATAATATATATATATATATACACATACATACATGTATTTCTTTATATTCACTTGTTGATAAGTATGTGCTTATTTGTTCATTTTCATATCTATGTATATGTTTGTAATATCTTTATGTCTATATTTATGTTACATGTTCATATTTATGTGAATTTTGTGTGTGTGTGTGTGCGTGTGAATGTACGTAGGTACATACGTAGGCAGGCAGCAGCCAGGCAGGCAGGCAGGCAGGGTAGGCAGGGTAGGCAGGGTAGGCAGGGTAGGCAGGGCAGGCAGGTAGGTAGGTAGGTAGGCAGGGGTAGGTAGGTAGGTAGGTAGGTAGGTAGGTAGGTAGGTAGGTAGGTAGGTATGTAGATAGATATATACACATACATGCATGTGTTTGTCTGCGCAAAAGTACTTGTAAACGCATACACATACATCCCTA